CACTCCCTGCAAACTCTGGTCAAAGTCGCAGCTAAAGGAAAGACTTTGAAGACTGCTCGGCCAAGCCACTGCTTTCAGGCTTTGGTTGAACGAAGAGCCAAAGGAAAGACGTTCAAGGCCGCTGGGCCAAGACACTCCTTCCAGACTCTGGTTGAACTCGCAGCCATCAAACAAAAGACTTTGAAGGCCGCTGGGCCAAGACACTCCCTGCAAACTCTGGTCGAACTTCCAGCCAAAGGAAAGACTTTCAAGGCTGTTGGGCAAAGCTACTCCTTCCAGGCTCCGGTTGAACTCCGCGCCAAAGGAAAGACTCTGAAGGCCGCTGGGCCAAGTCACTCCTTCCAGACTCTGGTCGAACTTCAAGCCAAAAGAAAGACTTTGAATACCCCTGGGCCAAGCCACTTCTTTCAGGCTCTGGTTGAACTCCTGGCCAAAGGAAAGGCTTTGAAGGCCGCTGGGCAAAGCCATACCTTCCAGACTCTGGTTGAACTGTTCGCCAAAGGAAAGACTTTGAAGGCCGCTAGGCCAAGTCACTCCTTCCAGACTCTGGTTGAACAACGTGCCAAAAGAAAGACTCTGAAGGCCGCTAGGCCAAGCCACTCCCTCCAAACTCTCGTTGAAGTCAATGCCAAAGGCAAGGTGCTTGAGGCTGACAAGGTGCCTAAGCGGAGTTGTCTCTTGCAGCCCATCTAGCCGCCGTATCCCCTCAAGAGCCATTGACTCATCACTGTCGACAGTGCATTTATGGATACATCTCCAAGCCTCCTGCAGGTTAGCCACCTCATAGGCGTAGGACAAAGAAGTTGGCTCTCCTTGCACCAGCCCTTCTTCTGCCAGAGTCTTCGATAATGAAAGCTTCTGAGAGCCTTTCATCACAGTGACTCTTGCTCCAGCTTTGAGCGGAAGTCGATTCCGGATGATTCTTCGAAGCTCAGAGCAAGTCAGGGACTTGGGCACTCGGACCTGGAATCCGTCTCCGCCCACGCCCACCACCTGAATTTCCAGTTCTTCATCACAGAGTCGCTGCACCAATTCGCTCGAGAGAATGTCCTTCCGAACTCTCTTCGATGGTGGCTCCAAAGGGCTGACTGCCATTGTCCACGGCCGCCCGCCAGCGGTCAGACCGGTCAGGGACAAGAAAACACTGAAAGTTCAAGTGGGTGACAGACACTTTGTTTATTGAACATGAAGACTATAGAGTATCTAGAGGTGTTGTGTTGTCTATAGTGTGCAGCAACACGATTGAATTATATACTGTATGTGGATTCAAAAGAATAGTTTTCTCTTTCCAGAGGCAACAAGAACGTGACCTTGAGCCAATTACAGTGGTTTGAGAGTGCATGGCACTACACGGAGCTTTATGAGTCAAGCAAATGAATCTATGAATCTCTATGAATCAATCATAGCATATTGCTTTTGTTCCGTCCGACGATCACCTGAAGCAAACCCCCCCCAAAAAAAAAAAAAAAAGAAACGGCAAAAAAGAAAGAATGATAAGAAAAGAGAAACTGATCTGATGGCGACAAAGTCCCAAACGCTAGATGTCGAGCGCCGTTTGCCAGCCTTCAAACCCCTCTCGGCAGCCCCCTCCCCCCCAAAAAAAGAGACGCGATCACGATCAGCTCTGCTACGCCGCTCTGGCGCTCGAAGCGCCTGCGCGCTGTTCACCAGGCAGCAGCTGGCAAAGCTAAAGTCCCCGGACCAGCCTGGGTGGCAGACCCGGTGGCAGACTGAAGTGCTTCTGAGAAAAGCAAGGAGAAGATCACACCTACAGAGGCACACTCACACACCAACAACAACACTTACTGGCTAGAATAACCCAGTATCGAGCAAAGTGAGCAGCTAGTGAAGTGAGAAACTATTCACGGTTGTATTCGGAAAACTGGGACGGTTTGAGGGCCTCTGGTATAGAGTAATACTAAGGTCACTCTATGTTTTAACCTATGGAATAGAGTCAGGTAACCCCAAGGAAATCCTAAGGTAGCGTGACCCTATCCAACCGTTAAATGTTGGCACGCGGAGTGGCGTTGGTTTCTGGCAGTTTCTGGTGACCCTACAGCTATCGAAAGGTAAAGATAATGTGGTTTCACCGCAACTGCTTGTGGAAAGAACTGGTCACAACTGCTCTTAAAGGGTGGAAGACTTGGAGCTCATACGACCTTCTTAGGCCACGTCGGGTCAAAGACTCTCTCCCAATCCAGGAATTCTTGGGACATGGATAGGTTGTATTGCACAGAATTCTACGGGTTGGAGCGAATAAGAAAAAGGCCATTACCTCCTCCAAGAGCTTTGTAAGAATGTAATCATCGTTGCGTGCAAAACGAAACTGGACCATGTCCGACCTCTGTTCTCCTGCTTCTTTAGATCCGCGTCCCAAGCTCCATCCGGTCGCCCTTAGCCGGGCGCGCCCTTCTGATCGGCGCAGGCTGCCAAGGTGCATGGATTGGCACCCCCCACAGGCCACACGCCCACGGCATGTAGTAGCAGGGCCAGGAGCCGCGCCATAGAGTGAGAGGAGAACGTAGAGTCACTCTGAGGAAATGGGTAAAACTAGAGTTGGGATCACTCAAAGAATCTAAGAAAACATGAGTCCAGTTTAGCGATGTTCAGTGATGAAACTCTGTGTGCGCGTGCCTTTTGGCACCGTGGGGCCTAGAGATGTTCCAAAACCCTCACAGAACCTGCAGTGAAACTGGAGGTTCAGCGCATCAACCAGAAAGTTGTGTGTGGCTTCAAGGAGCTTGCTCGTTCAAGGACAACCCCTGACAACAACGACCTCTTTCACTACAAACTGTCTCAAGATCCATGGAGAAGCTTATCAGAATGGTCTGAAGCTGGTAAAAGTTCGGCCAATAAATTGGGGCTCCAAAGATTCTACTAATCTCCATCTAATCGAATATTGGTCGGATGTTTGGTTTTGGGAGACTAGCTTTCAACCACATGTTTCCGCGAGATGTGGAAGATCCTCGCTCTCTGTGGGTTTCTGCACCTTGTGACACCTTCCCTACAAGTCAGTTGGACCTCATTGTACTGGAGAAGGTCGTACAAAACCAATGCTTAAGCAAGTAAAAGACCAGGTTTTACTGGGTCTTGGGACTTGTAGGCCATGTGTATTTGCAGCTTGGTGCTGGGGCATGTTCCGCTCACATAGTGGCCGGTCGCTGGGCTGTTTTCATGGCCAAAGCTGGACGGCAAGCCACGGGCAGGAGAAATACCTCTGACGCGAGTCAAGGAAAGGTATAAATCAATCCTTGGGAGCAGTCTACCTGGAAACCCAGTCCCAACCAGGAACAAATGAAGCTCTTCCCAAACAGGCGCTTGTAAAGGATCTCCAGCTGGCGCCATATTGGAACAACCACTGGTTGCTGATTGGGGGTGCCACCAGGTATACGCTACCTGGAGGACAACCCTGGATCCCAGATGGTGGGGGCCGCATTGACCCAAACTGCTTGCAGCTGTCCCAGCTGCTTTCACAGAGGCTTGGGTCCATCCTATTCCCAGCGCCCAGTGGATGATGGGGCCCTGCTTACAGAGCCCAGCTTCAAAGAAAACAGCTCCGACCCAGGCGGTGCGTCTTCCCCACCACGATCCATCGAATCGCTCCCAACTGATCCACGCGATCCGTCGAACGATCGAAGGAGACGTGTTCGCTCCGTTGTTCTCAACTCTTGGGGAATACAAAGGGAGGTTGCGGAAGGATCCAGGAGAAATAACTACTCTCCATCTATATAGGAGTATTGAGCATGTATGGGCCAAAATCACTATAGTTACACTCCTGCCTACGAGAAACCCAAGGGAGAGTGACTTGGTAACAGTCGACAAAGACTTGCAGGTTCTAAGTTCCAAGTAGTTTAATCCTGGGGTGCCATAACTACCCTGAAAGATCTTAAAGCTAACTCTGAGAAATAACTACTCATCGCCTGCATCAGCTTTCATGGCTTGTGTATGGATTGAAACGACGTAAAGCCTCAAACCCAATGGAACTTGCTGCAGGCAAACCCCCGATGTCCTCTGTCCACCACTGGTTCCGGAACAACCGCACGCGACCCAAGCGCCGGATGTTGGATTTGGTTGTCAACGTGCAGGGCTGTTGTGAAATTCCCCGATCCAATCCGTCAACCTCCGGGTGATGACAGTATCGAGTAACCACATCGAACACATCATTCCTTGACTCAAGACGAACTCTCGGCTACGGACAACAAGCCAATCTGGGGTGCAGATTGGGTGGGAAAGCTGCTTTTCTTCTCTCCGTCGCTTTGGGAAGGTTTCTATCTATCTATTTACGTCCCGCGTTGGCCAACTTCATTCAACAACCCATCGGTCGCTCGTGCCGTGTCGCTAAACCGAAGCGAAGGCGCGTTTCGCTTACCGAAACGTGTCTCATCTGTCCACCGTCACCTCCATGGGTCGAAACACGGCGAAGGCGCCCGCACCTCATGGGCTCCGCACCTCGGCCGCCGGCCTCGGTGGCCCGAAAAAAGGCATTCCGGAAGAGAGTGGGGGGTGGCCGGCCTGGATTGAGGAATGAATGTCAGGTGAGAAAGAATGACTCAATGATCTCAGTGAGTACTCAATGATCTCAATCCAGGTACCGGCGTTGCTGCTCTCACTGTTCAGCTTGCCCAAAAAAAAATGGAAGCGTTCACGTACCAGAAGAGATTGAGAACCACCAGTCAACTGCCCTGAATGTGACATGTGACATGTACACTGCTGTCCATCTGTATTTGTGCACTTTTTGTGCCAAACTCTCCGTCGACGTCGACAGGACTGGGCCACAACCTGGGCCACAACCTCGAAGTCAACGTTCGCAAAACCTCGACGTCAATGTGTGCCCGATGGTACGGGACGAAGTCATCGACTCAGAGGTTGAAGGACCCGACTCTTCGACTATCCCAGTTGGGTACCCCACTAGGGCCTAGGGTCCCTTAAAGGTCACTGAACCTCTCTTGGTTGCCACTGACTCAACGACTGCGAAACTCGCCCACCCGGAACTCCAATCGCAGCCCAAGCGTCGCTGGGCGCAGCGAGCAGTACGGCGTGTGCGGCGTGTGTAGAGCAGAAGCTAAGCAATGAGGGTTGGATTGATTTTCTTCATCCGCTGAATAGTGTGAGAAAATTATCTGAAGTCAAACATCTCTTAAAGATGTTTGCTACTTTTAAGCTTGGGAAAATCATGGCGTGTCTTGAACGAAGTGGCGATGGCAAAGGTAACTGGAGCTCTGCAGAGACGTAAAATCATTGGTTTCACCAAGCGACAAGGTTGAAAATACAGAGGCCTCAGGACTTCACAGGGAGAATTGCTTGGGGGTATCCCTAACTATTTTGTTTCTGAGGTTGGTCTGTTGTAGGTGCCTTTTTTGTCCTGCAATGTGATCATGCAAATGTCTCTCCACGTTGCCCCTATGTTCTTCACGTGGGTTGGGATCTGTCATGGTCGAACCAAACCCGAAGAAGCCTGAAATGGGTATTCACTAAATGCATACACAGAACACGTGGAAATACACAGAACTTTAGTATCGAGGCTTCACACACCCACCCAGATTCAGAAAGACCGATCAAGTGGGTTCCTTTTTTCTCCAAACAAGTGGCACCAGCCATCCACATAACCATGACGATGTCAAGGAGTGTACATAAGGGGTTCTTGAGCCATGTACCCGCCCAATTCTCTCGTGACACCCATGGGTTTTCCACTTTCCACTGATGGATTCCTTCAGGGCTGAACCGAGTCATGTGTGTTCGTCGCCGGGCTGGATGGACCCGAATCCATGTGCCGAGGAGTCATCCGTATGTCGCCGTGATGGGATGTCCATGAACCGTATCTTTGCCGTATCATTGTCCAAAAAAAAGAAACACCTCATGATTGCCAGTGATCTTGGGATAAAATGATGTGTTGAAAAGAAAAGACCACCAACCACCGAAGACCCCCCAATGATATCAATCACCAAACAAAACCTTGGTGGATCAACCCACCGAAAAACGCGCCCCTTTTGGGCGCGCGCGGGCGCTGGGCGACTCCCATTCGTCCCATGCAGAAGGTTAAACGACCAGGGCAGAGCGCAGCAAGCCCTTCCCAAAGGCCCTCACTGCATCGAGCCGCAGTACTCTGTTCACCCCGGGATGAAGCAGCTCGAAGCCCATGGAGTGCGGACCTCCGGCGAATGTGGGGCTGATCGAACCATTTATACAAGGGTTTTCAGGGCACCGACACGCCAACAGAAAATGGACCTCATGTTATTTTTTCATCAGACCACACGGATGGATGAGGAATGGGACGGATGCTTACATTGCAATGTACATGTTCATGGGTCATGTTTCATGACCGGCTCTGTTCTGTCATGCAACCTTCACCGAGCTGCTTCGAGGCGGTAAGCGCGGGACCCCACCGAGGTGGGTGTTTATCCGATGGTTGCGCGCATGGGATACGATCCTCATACCCAGATCTTCCAACTATGCCACATTTCTGCCTGTTCATCCATCAAACCAGCCCAGTCAGGCAAAAAATTGGCAATGGTTGGAAGATCTAGGTACATATGACTCATTTGAGGGAGGGGCCTAACGAGGGACGTAGCCATCCCCATGACACACGGGGAAGTGCTCGTGATCTTCCGGGTCTTCTCCTGCTCAAGATCGAGAGCGTCATGAGAGCTCATTGAAACAGAAAAAACAGAAAGGTCACACGTCCGCGGATCCATCCGTCACACGTCCGCCAGCTGTATTGTCTCAAGCGCCGATCCTTTCGGCCGCTTTTCTGGTGCGGATCCACGGTGCCACCGCTGTCGCCAGCTATCGCCAGCTCGCAAAGCTCAAAGGAAACTCTGGCTGTCGCAGCTACAAAGCCTCTGCTTTGGCAAAGCAAAGGCAAAGCGAAGCCCAGAAGTATCTGGATGTCCGACCTCAGTTCTCTGGATGGGCACGTGGTGGATCTCAGTCGGAGAAGTCGGATTCTGTCTGGTTAATTACACCCCGCATCATCTTCAGGGCCCTTGTGGCCACCACGAGCATCATCTGGGCGAGTTGGTACTTCGCCTGCTTTCCGCTTCTTGTTTTCTCCTCCACCTCCACGACGCATGAGACGCTTTTTGGGCCCGTTCTCGATCCGACAGTTCAACCAAACATCATTTCGCAGGATGCTGATGGTTTCCTCGAACCATTCTTTGTACCGCTCGGACGTATGGGACGGAAGGAAACACACCAAATGGTCTCCAGGCAAAAGAAGGGTGCTGGTCGTTTCGGGAATCTCGCACAACCCATCCCCACCGGTATGCACAACCGCAAGGGGGCTGATGTTGAAGTTGTGGCGCATGTTCAGCGCGAGTACGTCGACGTCGTCAGGCTTCAAAGTCGTCTTCTTGTAAAGGTTCATTGAGCTCGCTGCCTTTTCACGGAATTCCTTTGTAAGGAATTTATTTGTGCAAATCGAGGCCGGCTTTGAGCACTTATACGGAACACGGACACAAGGGAGAAATTCGCAGGTCAAGTCTTCGCTTTTGATGCCAATCGCACTCGTAAATGTCGAAAGATCGTTTGCAGCATCTTGGACACGAACAGCCATGGTCTCTTCATTGATCTTCCCCAGGTGTGGAATAATCCAACACTCGTCACCTGCTTCAGAGATGGTCAAACCAAAAGACTGGGGGCTTCTTCATTGTCTCTCAGCCTTCTGAACTTAGCTTTTGGGTGGTGCCACCTGGTACGAACCCAGGGTAAGTCAATCTCTATGAGACAAACAATGGCCGCCTCGGCCTCGCCAAAAGGATGTCGCAATCTACAACCCTCGGACGTCTTGGTTCAAAGCAATGTGCTACATAATCCGTTGGCCCTTGATATCTTCTGGTTGTTCTGGTTTCTTCAATGTGACTACCAAGCTAAAGTGTGACTCTTCAAGGTCAAGATGCCTCTCTTCAATTCGTGTTTGGGGCCCGGGTAGACGATGTCTTTGTCTTCACAGGTAGGGCCAGGGTCAGTCTTGTCGACACGCCGAATGCGCGCGATCTTCACACCAAACCTTCCGGTAGAATCCAGGTCCACAAGCCTGATTTTGCCCAGATTCTTGCCTTGATCTTTGCCGTCACCTTTGCCCTTTTCGAAAGCAGGGCAATCCTCCGGCACTCTGAAATAAAGTGTTGGAACATTCACCTTCTCCAGCTCATCCAGTCGTCCCGACATGAGCCAAACGGACACGCTGCGACCCTCCGACCCCCGCAGAGCTGCAAAGAGCGTCGCGGATGTCGCCGCGGATGTCGCCCGAACTCCTGCGATTCGCCGTACCCTGTCTCTTTGCCGGCCCGCCTTTTTGAAAGAAATGGGGAAAGACCTGGTGGGAGGAAGAAGGCGGTAAAAACATGGCGATCTTCGGGATTCAGCCCCATTGAAGCAAAGGTTTGCCCCATAAAATCCTATTTGGGGCACAAGTCCAAGTCCCGCACAAGAATATTCAATGTAGACTCTTGATTCAGAAACCCTCCCATTTGAATGCACTCAGTCCTCTTCATGTGGGGGTATTACTCATCAAGAGTCTACCCGTTTGACTCAGGTATTCTCTCCCCACATCGGACTCATGGACTCATGACGAGCCAACGAGTCGCACGACTCTCACCGACCGGCCGGGCTTCTCGCAGTCGTCACGACAGACCTACATGGGTCAAGTTACATGGTGGACCAGGACTGGTCGGGCTCCAGGTCCTTGTCCCCCCATCCCCCATCCTCTGTTCCATCCCGAACCGCCTCTCCGACTCATGGGCCGCCAGGCGCGCCAGGCGCCAGGCGCGCCAACCGCACCCTCTTCGGGTGGGCCTCGGGTGGCGGAAGCCCGCCGGGTGCGCCCGGAGCTTCGGGCGGCGGCGGAAGGCCATCGTGGCTGGAGACTCGGAGGAGGACAACGACAGATCTTCGGGAACACCAAAATCACCCGACAACATCCTGCAACCTCCTGCGCAGCCTTGGCTGGGACGACACCGACGGGTGTCCTTTTTTCCGGCCTGTGAGGAGTGCCACACATGACGCGGCTCGGTACCCAGTGGTGGCAGATGAACCACGGCCAAGGCTGGCAGATGGCCAAGAAAGACTACTGATCACATGTAACAACTGGGCTTGAACTGACCCGAACAGCAGAAATTTGTCTACTTGAAAGGCTACGAAAGTTTGCCACCCCCCGCCTTATTGAAATGGACAAAACTGCTCACATTTGTCTTGAAACTTCTCTTCATGCTTTGAGTGACAAGGCAAACATAAACCCCCAAAAAGGTGCACAGACCAAACACGATCAATTCCCACAAACTTCACCAATCTCGGACTCTCAGGTTCTCGGACGGAACGAGCTGGAAACATCTGTGCTCCCAGTTTCCCACCAGCGAAGATCTGTCACCATAGCCCAGACACAACCAATGGGACTGCCAGTCCGGACTGCCGCCCCAGACAGACCCCCCCCACCGACCCACTCCTGGCCGTTTTGAAGGCAGTCCGGACTGGCAGTCCCAGACGGGTCGCCTCTGGGATTGCTTCGGGTCCGGACCCGAGACCTTGAACCACCGGCCCCCTGCGTCGGGAGCTCTGCCCGGTCTGACGAACATCCCAACTAAAGAGGTCTCTGACCAGGTATCCACCAGGGACCCTCGGTTCGGTTCGGCTGTTTGGAGACCCCCTAATCCGGTGGTTTATCCGGTGGTTTCTGGGCATTGGTTGGAAACGAAAACACCTGTTGGAGGGTGACAATGTGACCTTTTGGAACCCATCGCTGGCCTCACCCATCGCTTCTGGCCGGAGAAGAGTCGGACAGAGACACTGATTGGGATGCTTCGGCTGCCTTGCTGGATCAAGCAATAAGCTGCCTTGCTTTGCAGTCGTTCAACTCGGATCTGTGGACAGTTGCAAACCGTTGAAGGCCGTTTTTGAACCAACGAGCGTGACGAAACAGTTCCATTTTTGTTCACTTTCTGGCCATCCGAGTCTGGCCTTGGTAAAAAAACAGTTCCTTCAAACTGCAAAACAGTGGAGTGTTTGTGCTTGTTGGAGCCGCAGGCTGCGGCGAAAAAACAAGTGAGTTTGTGCTAATCAGCACCCGGCACTTGACAGCTCTTGCCACCCGGCACCCGCTCCTTGAGTTCGTTCACTGCCTTGCACTTGATCCTATGAACTATGGCAAGTGCACCTGCAGGAAACCAAAATCAACAAGACTCCGACAGAAAATTCACAGCACTAAGAACTTCTTTCGCAGCATTGGCCCGTAATCTCAAAGACAATGTTTGTGAACCCCTATAGGATCCTAGGGAGTTGAGCCGTTTGAGTCTGTGGGGTTCTATGGCTGCGATGATTTTTTAGGAGTAGATATATATATATAACTATAGTGATCATCCACATGACTAGATTTCCAATCTTAGCCATATCTTCTGTGTCTCCGAAGCAACCTCTGTCGTTGCTTCCCACAAAGGAGGCATTTGCCACTTCCCATGTCCCCTTTCCAAACGCCATCCTCCCGTCCTCGTCCCTCCCGTTCGACCTCATCTGTCAACGAGAGGTCGACCTCTCGTTGCAGTCACAGCCATCCCTTGTCGACTCTCGACGATCGACTCTGTCGACAGTGTCTGGACATCCCTGGGAGCGACTGGTCGTGTCCACCCCTTGCGGTTCTTCAGTCGTCCGCCGAGTGGGAGCGACTCTCCACCTTTGCGAAGATCAGATGCCAAAGGAAGACCCGAAACAAGCCAAGATCAGCACAGAGTGAAGAAAGCGAAGAAACCGCAGGGTGTACTTGGGCGAACTTGTGTCGCATGTCTTCCATGTTCTGGGTTCTCCATCGCGGAAGGAGTGGCCTCCAGCCTATGGGTGATGAGAATTCAGCTGTACAGACTATATAGGGCTGCTTCAGGAGATTGATCTTACATTGAATCAATTCGCACCCTCTTCCCACGTCGTGAACCCCGTTCGTCGTGATCCCTCACCACACCTGATCGTTGAATCCGAATGAAGCGACTGGTCCCTCCCAAGTGCGGATTTGTTTACCATCGTGAAGTTGCTCTGAGGCTTAGAGAGGACCACCACCCAACGACGTCCGTGAACGGAACCCAGCCAGCCAATCCCCAGAGCGGGGACCTGTACAAGACGACCGCGTGCTTGGCCAAAGCGTTACAAATCGGTGGCCGAGCAACGTGCCGTGATCGAGCAACGCAACGAGAGGTCTGGGATGAACATATCCCGAGCATGAGTAGTATATGGGCGTTCGTATGTGGGCGGTGGAAGCGCTCGGTCAAACAATTGCTTCGCTCGGGTGTGGCATCTACGTTGTTCGGCGCTCGGTCACGAGACAGGATCGAGAAGGTTCTGGCTCGACTGGAGGTTGGAGGTGAGTGGAGATCCTGGAAAGACCAGTGGTTGCTTGGGAGAAAAACAACATGGTTTCTCCCTAAGAATCATTGGACCCGACCACTTCTGGAGGGTTTTGACCCGCAAAGAACGCAGGGGGTTGGACCTGAACCAAACCTTCACCGAACTGAGGGTCCTTGATTCTTAGGGTTGATTGTTTGGGTTTCCAGGTATACCTGAAAAAGACATACCGATATGATAGAATTATCCAAGAAATACCGAAAAGGACATGATGTTTCTTTGAGTAGTCCTGGATTGGTTCAGGGTTGAGATGCAACTGATGCAACGGTCGCTCTGGGGATGAAGAACACCCGCGGACCTCACGTTGACTGGCCGTAAGGGCCATCATTCGGACCGCAAAAACAGCGGCAGCTATGCTAGATACTGAACCCTTGCCAGGGCAGGCCCCAAACACTACCACGCGACGTGTCATGCTTCATGTTTCTGTTGAATATGATGCTGTTCCACGATTGCCACGATTGCCACGAGTGAGCCGTGGATGAGGTGCAACTTCACTTGTGGGCTTTGGTGGAAGGGGGGCAATTTTTCACTTGTGGAAAATCGGCATCGAATTCCCATCGTTCGCAGGGAGATCCAAGTGCTCTCAGAGGTCAGAACCTGGTAGCAGCACCCCGCGCCACGGGAATTCAAACAGAACGCGTGGATGTACCACCTGCTATTAGCAGAACGTCCGGTTTGACTCATGAACTACCCTACCGGGTTGTTATAGTCATAGTTCCACCACTACCATGCTGCCATTGTGGGGAGCTAGTTCATGAGTCATGGACTCATTCCGAGTCAAATGAGCCATCCACCCACAAGGACCTCGTGCCGGTGTGCCGGTGCCGTCCTGACCCGAACAGCGTGCATCGTGCCGTCCTATCACTAAAACGGGCCTCGTTCACCGGGTACCGTTCGGTCTATCAAACCAGCTTCTTCAGTACGTGACCTTTCTGGAGTCCCCAAGTGACCTCAACCAGCATGTCAAAAGGTCACTTTGAAGAACCAGGAAGAACATTCCCCAGTTGTACTGTGCTCCCAATCCAAACCCACGGCCACACCGGGCCACCTTCCCATCGTTCGCGCGCACTAGCTGCGCCACGCAATGGTAGCCCGCGCGCAAATCGGCCACCGCGCGCGCGGATCGGAGAGGACGCCTGGCAGCCAGACCTCTCTCTAAGGCTCATGGACTTTCCGGGTTCGGAAAGGGGGCTCAGAGATGATCTTGCAAGTCCTGCTGTGTTTTCATCACGCCTGGCCGCGCGTGACGTCGGCGCGTGTGCGCGGGCGGTGCGCGGTGAAGAAAGCTGCAAAAGACTCCGGCCTGCGATGCTGAGACCCTGTAAATCGACTTGATGATTGCAGGAACATCTCAAGTTGGATTTAAATGATGCTTTTCCCAAACGACCGCTTGTCATCTAAAGGATCTCCAGCTGGCACCATTATTGGGTTCGAACCATTTGTTTCTGGTTGGGACTGGGTAAACTGAGGCAGATCTCTGCATTCAGAGGCGTTTCTGTCGGAGAGTCAACCCATCAAACCCTCTTGGTTGGACTGCGGCTGGAGCGACGAAGAACGACGTGATATTATGGCTGTGGGTCAAAACCGGGGCATGTGGGTTTGGCCACCGGTCATGAATGGAATAGACTACCTGGGAGGTCAACCTACAAGGGTGCCAGGGGTTCCGGCTTTTGACTCGCAGCTTCAGTTCTCACCCAGACGCTCCAAACACACCTTGGTCACCTTGCTCCCTCAAAACCATACGGATCCATGTCCGGACCCCTGACCCGTTCGGATTCGGCCACGGCCCCCAGTCCCTTCGAGGGTCCAGGGTGCGCGTTAACGGACAATTGGTTTACAGTGAACGGACAATTCCAGAGGATTTCCACAGATGTTTGCTGAATCAAGTGTCCAACTATCCTGAACAATTAGGTGGCCGAACGCACGTCTGATCTTCGATCAAGTTTGTACCATGGAAAGATGACCTGGAATCAGACTGCGCTGTGCCCCACTCCCTCGAAAAAAGATGCAAAATAGTCCGAGGATGTGTAGACTGTATCCTCTACGTGCCAAAGTGTCTTGCTCTTCTTTTCGTGAACCAAAACACTCCCCACTGCCAACCCAGCTCAAACATGCACCCCAAGCAGTTCTCGACTCCTCCCAGCCCCCCTTCCCCAGTCTCCACGTCCACGCGCCGAGCTCCACGAGCTCTGCTCCGGTTGGCGGTGCCTGTATAGTGCTGCTGCGAGCGGAAGGTGCTCCGCCCCAGCAGCCGCGGGGCGACGGGCGACCCCTCGCGATCCAGGCGCTGCATAAGTTCCTGCGGCGGTCCGAGGAGGGCCGGCAGAGCGCCCCGGTCCGACGGGGGCCGACGGGGCCGGAACAGATGCCGGTGCTTGTCTTGGAAGGACGACGACGCAAGACCGGGAGAGGACTTCACCAGGTATACTGGAAGAGCTGGAGACTGAACAGTTCAAGGTCAAGGTGATCCAAGGGCTTCCTAGGAAAAACCGATCCAAAAAACCGATCCCAAACCATCCGAAGGAAGGGGGCGCGAGTGGTCAAGCCATAGGCTGGAAAATCCACGGTCGCTTTACCAAGGGTTTTCTCGAATGCCACGCAGAACACTGGAACTTCTTGCTACATCTTGACACCCGAGTCCCCAAGTCCCCGGGGGGCGTCGGGGTAAAACCCGGGTGTGTGTCCTTCGGTGCGGCTAGCCTCGTGCGGTGCGGCTTTTTGTGGAAGGAAAGGTCGACCCTGAGAGAAAAGACGAAAGGGACTGGGCAGTCTCCTAACGTTTAAAGGCCAGGGGGTGGCTGATTGATTGAAAAGGGGTCAATGGAACGTAATTATTCCAGTCCCATCAAGTGTCTGGAAGGCATATTGACCCCATCACAATGACCCTATAGCAAGTTAACTATTCCGGTCCCATGGAGGGTCTGGCTACTGAGAACTAGAAATCAGATGGAGCATTCGAGCGGAGGCCAGTATTCAACCAGTGAGATATGGGGCACTGCTGGTCATTAACAGTTAAACAGAAACACAATCTTTGAGTGTTGATAAATAGGACACCCCGTGATAAATCCCATCAGGAGGCGTTCACAAATCTTCTCAATTAGTCAACACTGGAAGCAAGCACCGCATGTTCAAACAAAAATCAGACACTCCTTTTTTGTGCGCGCAACTAGACCTTTGGACATCTGCCTCGCCCAAACACACCAAATTCGTTTGTGAGCGTTCAAAAGATGTGTGCATCATCCCATTCTCAAGGCGAAAGTATACAACAGCACCCTCCAACAGGTCACCAATGGAAACCTGTTAGGGCCTAACAAGCCTCCAAAGGAGACCTGTTGGAGGGTGCTGGCAGTCATGACATGTCTGTGTCACATGGGCGTGGGAAACGAAACAGGAAGCAAATGCGGAAACGACTCATCCTCGGTTCGTTTGGGATGGTCTGGGGGCCTACTAAGAGGAAAGAACATGAGCCATGCAGTTGGAACGTGAGTTGGCGTGAAAATGGCGTGGAGGTCGTCACCCCCAATTGTTTCTCGAACTTTGCACCTTCGCCCTGTGAGGTCGTCCGTTTCTCCGAACGCGGACAAAGAAGAGAAAATCGATCCCTTTCCTTCTGCGATTCTTTCAAAAAAAGAACCACCCACCCCCGGTCCCCGGTCCGGTCTCCTGCACTCGCACCTGGAAGGAGCCGTTCGCTGCATCCAGCACCGTCTTAATGCCTTGGCTGGGCGGGCCAAGCACCGGGCGAGATCTCGTCTCCGGTCTCGTGGTCATGTGGTCGAGGTTGGAAGGGTCAGGTGGTCGAGGTTGGAGCCATTTTGGACGGATTCGACGGCGTTGCAAGGAGGTGACCTATAGCCAGTGTCCTCAGGCAGTGTCGTAATGAAACTGGAGCACCCATCCTAGAACTCTCACCACAAAAAATACCACAGCCCACACAACGTGACGCACGTATCACGCCTCTTGCGCAACGCGACTACGACCCGCTTCAACCAGGCAGCACTCTTTGGCGAACTTGTTCACCTCTGCAAAGCCACCCGGGACCGTCTCAATCACACACGCGTCGATCATGATCTTGTCCTCGACCGAGGTCCCGACCCCGACCCAGCTGGGACCGACCGGTCCCGGCCGGGCAAGAGCAAGAGCATGCTGAACACCAGCCGGTGGGAGCTGGGTGAACGTTCACCCTGTTCACCCCTGTTTGAACATCCGCCAGCGACGGCCCGAGTCGTGTAGCTTGACGCTCGAACGCGAACGTGACACGACGTGTCGACGTTCGGATGTGTCACCCCTGTCGCATGGGGAGAATGGGACCAGGTTCCAAGTTCTTGAAGGGGGTGGGGGGGCGAAAAGAATCCTCCACCCCAGGCCCCGGACGCTCCGTGAACGACGCCCGACCGGTCCGGACCCCAAAAGCCAAAGAAAGCGCCAGGCTCGGCTCGGCTCGGATCAGCCGCTCCTCCACGCGCGAGGCTTCGGCATTTTCCAAACCTGGCGATGCTGGCCGGCGCCACGGGCGATGCTGGCTGAAGCTTAGAGTTTTCTCCTCTTATTGAACCAAGGGTTCCACCTCCAATCCAATCCAATACAATACAGCTCTCCTTTCACGAGTCATTTGGAAGCATGTGGTTGTTCTTCTTTTTTTCTTCTTCTCCTTCTTCTTCTTCTTCTCCTTCTTCTTCTTCTCCTTTTTATTTCTTCTCTTTTTCACAAATTTTCATTCACTCTCATCACCATATAACACACAGTGTCGCTTCACCATGTGCCACCATCCTGCCATCTGATCCCACCCCCGAGCTCGCCACCGAATCTCGCCGAGGAGCGAATCTCGCCGACCTTCTCGGCCAAGCGCACCACGGTGTCCACATGGGCATTGCCCCACTGGAGCACCCCGCTGGGTGTGCAGAGCAGCAACCCCTGGCGACCCGACCCACGACCCCGTCGACCCACGACGGTCGACCGCGTCCCTCGGGTCGGCCGTGGACCACGGCCGACCACAGAACCGGAAGATGGTTGGTGGGTGCAACGTGAGTTCCTCCTGTGTCCTGTGTGGCAAAAAATGCTCTTGAATCATTGAAGGAGGTTACGACGGTGATCCCTGAAATGGGTCATGTTTGATCCAAATAGAAACAGTTGAGATGATCCATGGCTTTGCACCCTATTACAAATGGTGCTGTATGTGTACTATATGGTGAATGAAATGACGACTGAAGGACTCGTAAAATGGCATTGACTAAAATAACTTCGGGCCAGTGTACGGTGGAATATTGGGAGGTGTACAGGGCTGAGCGGGCTGAGCGGGCGCACGGGTGTGCGGGAACCAGCGCGCAAGCCCCTAAGTGTGCACCGGGTGAGCGGAGGGACCGCAGAACCGGAGACGATGATGACATGGTAACTCATGATGATGATGATGATGATGATGATGATGATGATGATGATGATGATGATGATGAGGGTGGATGACTAATGACTGATGACTGATCACTGACAATATATGATGAACGTGCTGACAAGGAAGAGGAAGTTGGTAGTTGTTCTTTGAGGAGATTCCTTTACAGGCACATGTTAATGTTCATCATTTCATAAGGCATACGTGTCATTCATATATCCATAGGGGCACTTATTCCAACAGGTGAGACACCCACCCAACCCCGCGCATCTCCAACCCGACCTTCGTCGCCTCAACGCGAACCACCCCCGGACCTTCGACCGGTTCACGGCGCCGCCGGTCGCCTCGTAGCCGCTCTTGAGCCTTGGCGCCACGTAACGCGTCTGGAGGAGCTCGAACAAGCACCAAGAGCGCTGCCTCGCTGCAGAAGGAGGCCGCTCACTCTACGCGTGAGCGAGTTCGGGTGCTTGGGGACGCACCCTCGGGGTGGAGGAACCTGGAGGGATGCCGAACCGTGGCGGGCGCTGGGTTCGGAACTCGGGGGCCTTTGCGCGACACCAGTCGGACAACTTCAGGGGGTCCATCCTCAAAACTGAGTCAGCGTCCACAAGGCATCATTTTTTCGATCTGGTTTTGATTTGGAAGGATTCATTTACGTCCACTTAAACCAATTGTGAAGAACACACATGGCAGGCAGAGGCCTCAGAGTTGCAGGTTCCATGTTGGAATCAGCCGATGTACACTTCAATTCCCAGCCCCTTCAAACACGTATGAAAATGGCAAAGTGTCAAAGCCTTCAATTTGTTTGCTAAAAAAAGACATGACCAACCCATCAAAACTACATGGATCTCCCAGGAATGGTAGAGCCGGAACCCCCCACTGCATTTCCGGCTACACGCTCAGTGGGCAGGAGCCCATTGAATTGAAGAAAAGAACAGCCGCCACGTCTCTCCCATCTTCGCCGGGCGGCAGCGGCACGCAATCGTTGTCCAGTACCATCGCGGTGCCGTGGCACTCGGGACTCTGCAGCGCCAAGTAGAAGGAACTCTTCAGCGGGTCCCCATCCCCGAGCTCCTCCTGTTGAAAGAATTGAGAAGGGGCCAGGGACAACCAGCTAAATATATATATATACATTATTTATATCTATATCATATCTGTATCTATATGTATGTATGCGTGTTTGTCATTGTTTGTCCGTCTTGCCGCGCAGTGTCACGCATTTTGACGACTGCCTACCAACGAGCCTGGCTTAGGCCACGCATGGCTCCGAAAACAACTCTCATCACTTGAGTGTCCTGGACTTTGAACTGGTTGTTGCTGAAAGAACAAATCCTGAGAGCGAAGCGAAGGAGCTTTTTCGGCCATGCTTCGCGCCCTCTCCCGGTCCGGCTGCGGAAACATCGCGACACTGCTTTTCGGCTAGATTGGCCAAAGAACGCCGCTCCAAAAAGAAAACTGGCAGCCATATACCCCCTCCCTCACACCACCTTGTGATACAAACAAATCCGGACAGCCCACCAGCATGCGAGCATCGTGAAAGTCGCGTTACAACATGTTAGGCAAATGACCGAAAGCCTGTCTTGGCCGTCTGCTGTTCGAGGACTACATCGCCGTGGATGGATCATTGGTTGGCGGCTTTCTTCTTATCATCGTACAAGACTTGGTAATTAAAGAGGAAGTGGCGACCTTAAAACTAGATCAAGCTAGGGATCCAACAAACCCAGCCAACTTGTCTTCTTACCTCTACAAATGGTTATATATAATGAATGCATCAACATTCCAATCGTTTGATCAATCAGGGATGAGGCTGATTTATCGAATCCTGCCCAAAAAGCACACATGTATCACATGTCCAGTCTGCGCAGCCCCTCAGATTTATTTGCATGAAGTAGGATTGGGCGCTGAAGGAGTTGGCTCTGGCGCAGCAAAATCAAATCACCCGAAGCTTATTGGTCCAAGGATAGACACTTCACCTGCACATGTGGTCAAAAAACATGTGAGCGAACACACCCAGCTGGACTGCAGCCTCAGTTCCTTCCTCCCAAGTGAGACGCGGGAACTTGCGTGGTCGCTCTGAACGGCTCCCTGTTTTTTGGGGGTTCACATCAGGACCTCAACATCCTCAAGAGTTCTCACCAAAAGCAACCCCACAGAGCCTTTTTGAAGGGTCGTTTTCCCTCGTTGTCCCACTTTCCAAGCTGTCCCCACCTTGCAAAAAAAGAAAGAAACCTTATTCTCCCCGGGTCACGGGTCCGCGGCAGTCGGTCGAGCGCAGTCGGTCTCCCGCCGTTGCGGGTGGGGACCGAGGCCGCCCGTCTCAGAGACGACGCGCTTAAGGACCGAGTCGGACGGAACGAGCGGAGTTCGCTCTGTCCTGGCGAGAGAACAAAGGACACGAGAAGAGGGCATCGAAGCTGCAGCGACTGATTGTGATCGAGGGGAGACCTTTCAGTAGTATGGCTCCGGGTCATGGCGTCGACGCCGCACTAAGCCCTGACCCATATAGCCAGTCACGCCAGATCGAACCCCCACCGTCGGAGGAATCCAAGTACCGACCATCGACGTCAACCCTCAACAGCGCACAAAGCCGTTGAAGGACAACCCTCCACCTCTCCAGCGGTTCAGCTCTTAGCCAAGGCTCCAAAACGTGACTTTCCGCCACTCACAGCACGCCTGGCCAGATGTGGTTTGGGGGGTCTTAGTCTTCCTTGGGAGTTGTATCTTGGCGGGAAGAAAAGAGCCAAGAATCGCAAAAGGAACTGCGTAGACTCGTGTAGACCCCCAAAAAGAAGTCCACTTAGTCCACTTCGATGATCTTTGGCACCACCCAAGCGTTCAGAACAACTCCTCATAGTGGTCGACCATTCTTTTTGAAATGGTCAACGAGAGTCGGGTCTTCATCCTAAGCTCCCCCCGATGGACCGAAGCTCCATCCGGACTCGTCCAAACGGCCCGAGGTCCCACGGCGGCCCGGCAAAAGCCCCTGCGAATGGACTCCCGAGCCGGAGTCTTTTTTCTGCACGGATCTCACCTGTCACAACTCCATGACTCACCTGTCGCAGTCTCGCGTCCGTCGCGTCGCGAGTCCGGAGTCCGCCTTGCCCTGCGCCATGTTCCGCAAGCTGTGGAAGAAGTCCTCGAAGGTGTTGCTCCAGCAGTGGGACACCTGAGAGAAGGCGCATTCCGGGTTGGAAAAAAGCCAGCGCGACCGCCGAACACTTTCTTTCTTGGGGCAGAGGGCGTTTCTGCATCCAAGGGTCTCCGCAAACCATCAAACCTGGGTTTGCCCTTGCAAAAACACATTATGTGTGGTTTTTGTATGTGAACACCATCATTTTTCATGGATTCGAGGGCCGCTGGTAGTGATATCATCAGGGCATCAGGGCGTTGAAAATGCCTTCAAAGGAGTTTCATACAGCAGGTTGCGGAGCAGGAAACGATTATGACTGGGACTTTCTATAGACTTCACAAACGCCACCAGGAGGTGTGGGTCGCCCGCACTGCTCGACCTCCACCCAAACCAACACGTCCCATCCGACGCACCCGTCGACGCTCCGTTCACAGCCGCCCCGGCTGGTCGATCGACGCTCCGTTCGGGGACCCTCAGCCCCCTCCCAGACCCCCTCCAGGGTGGCATCTGGGGTCGGTCCCGAGAAAAACACGGACCTTTTGTCAGTCACGACCGAAAGGGGGTGGACAGCGAGCGAGGACGAGTCCCTCACCGCAGCACAGGCAGGGTGGACTCCCTCCAGTGGTCCGAACTCCCGGCGCGGGGGTGGTTGATTGACCACATGGAAACTGACTCATCCAAGTACCTGGAACCCCACTGACCCCTGTTTTGATAGGAAAAGGCCATATTTTGGGTGGTTGGTGGTCCAAAATAGAGGTCATTCAGGTTCTAGGTATATATAAGTACCTGAAGTACCTCTTCCCGTTCCATGGAGGGTCGCCCCGTTCAGTCGCTGTTCATCGAATTCGCGTGTGGATGAGCTCGGGGAATACGTCGCAAGGCCACTCCAAAGCAACCAAGAGGGGTGGAGCGTGACTGGAACGTGACGATCGGTCACCTCATTCGATATAGGGATACTCGAGCGTGACCGGGTCCTTCCCAAACAAGCTCTGAGCTTCGAAGAAAAAGCTCCACATGGGCACGAGCAACCAACTCCACAACCCACCCAACAACCCACCAGCCGATTGTGTTCGGTTTTTCCACAGATCGGTCCACATGGTCGGTCTCTGCTGGTCACGAACATCGCATGCTATATATATAAGGGTGGACGGGTTCGGTCCGCACCGGCCGGTGGGTGATTCCGAAAGGAAGCAGCTGGCACACACATGGAAGCTTTAAGAGCTTCCTCACTACTCCGAACGAAAAGTGGCACGCTGGTCCTTTTCCCTTCGCTCACTGCCACAGATCACTATCACTGCTCTCTCCTGAACTTGGCAGCTGCTGTGAAGCTTCAATCCGCCAAACTCCCCAAGAACGGTGTCCACTGGGACGACCTCCTCGGCAGCTCTGCGATGAGCTCTGCCGTGAGGAGCTTCACACTGCCGTGACCGGTGGCCACTTGTCTGGGTTGACGCTGGCAGCTCCTGGTGGCTCCACGTGATCCAATCACTCAGCTCCAGGTGATCCAGGCGAGCTTCGGAGACAAGCTCCGGAGGTCCTCAGATGCGCTGCAGCTGGGCATCGCTGCTGCTGGCGACCAGGCGGACGAGATCACACCGGCAGGTGGGCATCTCGTCCCAGCGCGAGAAGCTGCAGGTCCGGGGCGCATGAGGGCAGAAGCGCAGGCAGAAGCTGCTGCGCACCTGAGGGAAGAAAGGCAGAGGAGGAGGCGGAGGAGGTGGAGGCGGTGTTCTACAACGACTTGGTGGGATCGAAGTGCTGAGGAGCCAGCTCACATGTATGCGAAATGGCCAGGTTCGGACCCCCCCGATGCGAAGCCAGAGAGGTTGGAGCCAACTCCTAAGGAAGACCACCAGGTGCGTCCGGATGTCCAATGGAGACCTATGGTACTGGGGGCCCCCCAAAACATCAAAAATCCGAGTTTTGCAGAAAGCACCAAAAACACATGGTTTTTGTATGTGATTTGTCATGGGTTTTCTTGGGGTGGGGTGGTCCAACCTAGACCCGTTCTTGGCGAGGAAACCAGAGCCCGGCATGCCGGGCAGCCCCAGACAGCGGGCAACGGGATGGAAGCAAACCTTGTGTGGGTGTGCAATGAACGTCCCTTTAAGCAGGTGGGCTGTATATAGTCCATTATATAAGGGACAGACTCCAGACTCCGGATGGTCCCTTCCAGGATCTTCTTCAGTTTCAATGGTAGTTGATTTCTGCCAAAAAGTCAGCGCTTCTGAAGTTGAGACACATATCAACCCACTGCGCACAAGTTATACTTTTCTGGCACCACCGCACCACCTCAAGAATTTTCCCACTGAGTCCCTCCCAGGCGGTTGTCGGATGTTTTCCGAACCTCTGTTCCGTCAACTGTACAGTAGTTGATTACTTTCCTGGAGGTGCTTCCCTGGAGAAAAAGCCTCTTGCAACGAAAAAAGGTATGAAATCTTCCATGGTTGACACCGCTGGAGCGCACTCCACTTTGTGAGTTCAAGGGGCTCACTGCCACCAACGGTCCAACTATGCCCCAAATGTCCAGGAAAAAAAAGCGCTTTTTTCTTTGAGTGTGAGAGAAGAAAAATCGAAGAGTGCGCACTGCTCAGCACATTCTCTCCTCATGTCCCTTTCAGTGAGCGACGTACAGACAGCCAACCCGCCCTGAAAGTCGGTGCTTCGGTGCTTCGGGGCGGGAGCCCAGACGCGACCTGGTCTGGGACTGCCAGTTCCGGACTGCCTTCAAAACGGCCAGGGGTGGTCGGGAGGGAGGTATGTAGGCATATATTCCATACATGGAGTGTATGGGTAAAGCACCCAATTGAAATGGAAAACCCTCTTCATATGGGGGTTTATGGTCCTCAAGAGTCTACATTAATCCAAC